CCGACCCGGACAACCCGGATTGACACCTCTAGTTTGAGCCATATTAAAATTTTTATTTTTATTTTTCTATTTATTTTCAAACACACATTTTTCAATAAAATAATATTTTTCATCACATCAATAACTTTTTCAACCATATATTCTCTATCAATCTACCATTTCAAAATATATTCTTTCAAAATAATATGGTTCAAATACACCATATGTTATGTTTGAGTCCAAGGTTTTTTTTTCCCCGAGAATAGGGACAAATTCAGAATCAAACTAGGAGCTTGTTTGGGAGGGATTAAAATCAGATTAAAATTGAAAATATAACCATTGGAGTTGACTTTTATTAGACGAGTGAGACCCAATAACGGTTATATTTTAACCTTATAAAATTTGAAATGGGCTTGGGAGAGACTGGGCTGGCCTTAAATCCACCACTGGGTGATAACATATTTTGTAATAACAATTTTATAATGTGTATTTAAAAAGTAGAAAAAAAAATTGAGTGTACGTGCAAAATTATTTTATTAAAAGAATGTGTTGTTGAAAATGAGTTTAAAAAAATAACTGTTTTTTTTCTGTAATGTACTTTTAACAAGGGCTTGATACGTGATAATATTGACCATAATTGGTGCGATACTATATAGAAAAATAAATGGGGCGACAATTGAAGAGATGACTCTTCGAGTAGGATTATTGTTTGTTCATGAGAAAGGATGCAAGTACAAGTAGCGAAGTGTGACTCGTTCGAATTAGTAGAGCAGTTGAAGACATATTTTCCATTGGCGCTAAATGGGACGATAATTGAAAATATATATTCCCGTTGCAAGAAAGTCAGCCATGGCTTGTGCGGTTTTTTGCGTTTTTTATTATTCAATCATGCTACATGTATATTTTTTTTTACATTATGTCACGTGATAACACATTATCGGACAGTTTAAAAAATTAAACACTTTTCCCTTCAATCATTTTTAACAACACATCAAATGTTAAGGATAATGTAAACTTGAAGTGTACATTTTTGTTTATTATTTGCCTTACTTCTAACAATGTTGCTACACATACATTCTAATTGATATTCTACTTTACACTGTTCTATGTGACACACAATTTTATCATTGATTTCTTCAACACTTAAAATAATCAATGATCTTGATTTTGTCATATATTCAAAGGTCATCTAAAGTGTGAAAATAATGTACAAGTAGCATAATTGTATTTTTAAACATCTTGTATCCCATGTCTATTGGCCCATTTATTAGGGGGATGTGATGCGATTAATTGAAGATGCAAACTTCTTATAAAAAAAAAAAACAACAAAATGATAGATTTTATGAAATTTCCGAAGCCTATGTTGGAAGGATGAAAGTGGGGTAGGGTGGAGCGGACAGTGGACTAGATGGATTTCTTGATAACTGCCAGGTAGTGTCGAAGTTTAGTCTGTAAAATCTCGAAATTTTTTTCATAAAATATAATTATTTATTTTATATTCTATATTTTAATATCTTGGAAAATTGGGGACTAAAGTGATATATATATTAAATTTCATTTTTATAAAAGTCAAATATTTGGATATTGATGAAGCTATGACAAGCACATGTGAATATTGGGCTCGTTGGATAAATCGTAATTAATTATGAATATTAAACTCGAGAAAAAGTTAATTCGGATAAGTGAGGTCCAAGTTAGTGAGGTTGAGAGATATTCCCTTAAATTGTAATTTAGTTAAATTATTTAATGAATTATGAACTTTAATGGGAAGCCACGTGTATGATATCATTTTGAATTGTGGCTAGTTTGACACATGTGAGAATCTTAAATTGATAAGAATTAATCAAAATTTTGTTTCAAATACTTTTATCCAATTACTCTATCCCATTCCCACATGTTTTCCCACCATGCACCAACTTTTTAGAGTTTAGGTAATTATTGCCTATATACATGTAAATGTATGACCTAATGGTGGGTATACAAACAAAATATACATTTATGCACGGCACAAATGCAGAGGCTGGAAAATAATTTGGAACGTGATTTTATCCCGTTTAAATTGTTTATTTTCATGTTTTTGAATTATTATGCTTATGAAAGTTTAAAGATATGATATGCATGTTATGGTCATCCGGTACCAAAGATATGATGCTTATTAAGCTCTTACCGGTTTCTAAAGCTATGGTGACGATATGATATTTTTGACACATTGTTTAAATCTTTTATTGGAGATTGCACCATTATTTTTATGTCCTACTGAGTATTCCCACGTACTCACTATTTTTTCCCAACTCCTCAGGGTTAGTACGTGTCGTGTCGGAGCATGGTGGTTCGATGTTGTGGTTGTGTCTCATTTCGCTCGACGAAAATCTAAAATTTAATACGTGACTTTGTTCATTTTTAGTTTAATCGCAACAAACATTATTTCAAAATTTAATTCTCGTACTATTTTTTTTGTATATGGATATGTTTAGATTGCACTT